AAAAAAACATAGATGAATTATAGAATTTGTAAGTATAACTTTCTGTTTAACATTATAAAGGAAAAGGCACAATTAATGTAATAACATTATAAAATGAAACATTAACATAGTAATTATACAATCCAAAAAATAGCCAAAAAAAAAAAAACTTACAAAATATAACATGAAAATAAAATTTACTAATTAATGGAATAACACAAAATAATTTAAATGACAACGTTATTTTGGCTTTGATATCGTGCTGGAGACTATAAGGGTCCGTTTGATAAGAAAATATGGAAATGAATTTCAATTTCATGTTAGTTAGAAAATAAAAACTCACAAAACCCATATGAATTCATTTTCTATGAAAACAAAGAAAATACAGTTTAAAGTGGTTATACCTTGAAATTCAATTTCCGTTTCCACGTTGCAACTAAACGGTCCTAGTGGAATTCGTATACCACGAATGTGAGATTTTTCATGAAATTTGTTAAAATAAAAAATGACCTAAATTAAATATGATTGAAATAAAATACCCAAAGCGAATGAAAATTGTATAATTATATATTGAAGAGGAACATCCAAAATTCACAATCAATAATCGAGAATTATAATCAAGAATCAAGAAGAACGATCGGAGCAATTAGATTGAAGAACAAGAAATCAAGATTCATTATTCAAGATACAATTCAATGGATTAAAGTATGCTTCGCATTTATTAATTTTCTTGATGACATGATATGGAGATATTGATAATTCATAATATTTTTTAAAAGCTTAAGTTCGAAGAAAAATTCAACAATTATGCGTTACTTCTGAGCCTTTTATAAATCTGAATCAGAGACCTAAACGCGAAAGGCACAGCGGCAGCGCCAAAAACAGCACCAAATCTCACTGATTCATCAGGTGAAACGGCAAATACTGCAGATGCATAGGTTGCAAACATTCCCAGAGTTGCAGCCCACAACTCAAGATAATAAGGGAATTTGTAGGTGAGAGACGTCAGTACAAGAATTGATGAAGAAAGGGCCAAAGTGTTCGAAGTTAAAAAGAAATGAAATGCTACATTTCGGCTCGCGTATATCGCTGTTCCTGCTTTATGTCCATTGCTGTCTTGCCAAACTCCACCAGGCGGATTCACTCCGGCCTGGAAGGTTACGGCCATGATCACCGTCGCAACTACCAAACGCACGTTTCGAGTGTCGTTTGGCGTGTCCACGTGTTCGTCGTACCGAAGCCTGAACCAACTTCACTTGGATACCTGAGGA